AAACCACCACCAACAAAAGTACATGACCCAGAAGTCAGGGTTCTAGCCCTGCCACTTCTCCTCTACCTTTGATGTGATCTTACCTTCTTTCCACACCTTCTTTAATATTTCCTGAGCTTTAGAGAGGATTAAATAGACAAAATAACTTTTTCTTCAACAAAATAGAATTATGGACTTCATATCAATTTGAATTTTTTATCCAATGAAATATTCTTTGTTAAAGATGATGATAGAAAAATAGGTTGAGAAACTTTTTGCATTTGGTTGATTCAACAATACACCAAGGAATAAGTGAAAGGAAAACATTTAAAATAACATGAATGTAAAAGGTAGCAATAGAATAGAATTTTCTGATTTTTTTCTTATTTACTTTTATCTTTAAAGTTTCCCAAACCATTTAACACAACAACAGGTTATAATGCATTAAACTATTAAGAAGGCTTAATATTTACCAAATTGTCACAACATGAAAGAGGTAAGACTTTGCCTTGAAGATGCTTACTTACATCTAAGGATTTTATTGAAATGTGAATGTGTATTTCTGTTAAAAACACTACATCAGGAATTTTGATTTTTCAAAAGGAGTTAATGAAGTAAAAGTACAGAGCAATCCTGCTGGATAGTTATAAACATCTCAAAGTTGAAAGCTGTCAACATTTCAAAATATAATTATGGTACAAGTGTAGAGTTGGGTATCTTTATTTGAACATTTATGCAAGATTGACAGTGATATTTTGAAGTCAGATGTCTGTTACTACCTTGTTGTCATTATCTAATTTTCAATTTAGAGATATTAGTATTTGCCTCCTTCTATAATTACTCTTTGCTGGAATCTAAATTTCCTTGTTGGATATTAATAGATATTATTTGGGGCTGAAGTCCTTATAAATAAGTCTTTCCATCATTAGCTTCAAAGTTCCATCGAATTTCTGTTGCTGTTCTGATCGGAGAATGTAGGAATATGAATTATCAGACTCACAATGGAACTTTGTTCTGTGTGCTATACTGAAAACAAATGTTAGTAAACTCTGAAAGTTTGTCTTCTTTGAGGGTTCAACAGTCTAGACTCCAGAACAGTAGATGGTTTATAAAACACGAGTACAAATTATCTGCATTTTGAAAATGTAGGCTTTAGATTGGATTCTACAAAGCTCACATCTCAGCTCTTATGTCCAGGATTATGGAATGAGTTTTGATTTCAATTTCAAAATATGAAATTATTGTTAAAAAATTTGATTAATGGTTGCTGTAATTTAGAATGTTGGCTATTGCTTCACAGAATGGAGAAAACATATTTGTGAATGTACAGTAGGTCCATGTCATCACGTGTGGAACTACTTACATAAGGTCTGGGAGGGGATTACTTAGATCCAGATTTTCTACAGCAAAGCAATAAATATTTAGATAAACCAAGGAAGATAGAGAATTTAAGTCACTTTATTCCAGTTGACTTCGAGTTTATTTACCAAATGAGGTTGAAACCAATCTTAATTTTACAGAACTCTTTTGGATATTAGAGTTATTAATTCAAGATTTTTATTCCTGTAGTAATTAAGACAGGAAAAAAATAATAATGTATAAGTGGAATCAGCAGGTCCTGGCACTTGTAACCCTGGACAAAACTTGTTTCACATCACTCTTTGTTTCCCCCATGTTCAAAATGAGGAAAGGCAGCTCTATGCGATAGGTTTCACACAACAGAATATATTAATTTATGCCATACAAATGCTATTTAACTATTGTCAAGGTGTGGTATCATCCACAGTTTTAAATTTAAGATGAGAAGATAATAATACAGCTAGCTTCATTTAGTTCTCTCAAAGCAAAAATTGTGGCAAATTGCACATTTGGCAATACACTTTCAGTGATTAGCCACCCAATTGCCTGGCGTTTTCTGTCATTACCCTTGCCACGTTCTCAGGCAGGCTCACAGGTAGAAGGGAGATGGGGAAACATTCACAGCAGTCTGTATAATTGCTGGCAGGAAGTAAGACAGAACAAAGTTAAATTATGAATCCAAATCACTTTCTAAAATGGACTCATTTGCCTCATTTAGAGAAAGTGCCTCTCACGTTCTCTGGACATAGCCTTTTGACAGGAATAAAATAATGATACCTTAATAAAACAAACTTCACCAAATCATGTTAGGTGTTGCTAGTGCTAGTCAGATAGTCAAAAATCACTATTCCAGAAAGCTGTGGAGCACAGGAATGGCTCTGTCTCATCCTCTTATTTATGGATGCTAATCACAGTGCCTGGGCTGCAGGTAGTCAGATAGCTCTTGGCTTCCTAATCACCTACTTTGGTGGAAAATAGACACAAGATTCTTTTGGAAGATGAAGGCAAGACATGTTGTGTTTTTTTTTCTATGAGTCATTTCAGAGATGTATCTCATCTGACTTTGGAACTTATATATCTCAATGACTCAGTTCTCCAGTATCATATATGGATGGCCACAATCTCCTTCCAACAATCCTAAACCCTCCTCTACCTTACACCCCCAAGTTATGAATACTTAAAATCTCATTAGAATCACCTTAGAATCACGTCAACTGATCTAAAGAAGTTTCTATACCCTAACACTTTTTTGTAACCAGCCTTTACCATTTAAATATATTTTTAAAATTAATCCTTTGTGTATTCAATATCAAGCATCCCAATCCATTCATTTCCCTGTCCCTTCATGTCTGCCCTCTGCCCTTGCAACTTCCCCCACAAAATACAATAAAATACAATTAAAAAAATCTCATAGTGGAAGCTATAGTGTGACACAGTGAGTCACACTGTATATCTTTCAGTTCATACATCTTTACAAGTGTTCACTGCAATGAGTCATTGGTCTGGTTCAAGGCCTCTGGCTTCTGCTACACTACTGACACTGGGCCTTCACTAAGATTCTGCTTGGATATCCTGTTGTTGCTCTGTGTTGTTGAGGTCCTATAGGTTTGTATCTGCAGGACCAGCCCTTTATGTGCTCCAGCAGTTCATAGATGGGGTGGATATTGGAGTAGCCAACTCATAGCCCCTGGTTCTGGGCCTGGGTGGTAGCTGAGTTTGTCAGCCCACCAACTTTCCCTCATCTCCACCACCAGGACATTTCTCCAGCACTGCCCTGGCTAGCTCTCCCAGTGTAGTAGGCAGCAGTGGGTAGGGGTAGTTCTGCTCTCATGCTCTCAGACAGGCTCACCTGTACCCATACCACCAGGGCCAGCTCTGCTATGTTGCCCAAGTGATACGCAGTGCACACTGTCTTGAGTACTGAAGCTAGGAGGGGCAGGGCCAGCTCTCCAGATTTCATGAGCTCAGGCCAGCTTTCCTACCTGGCATCACTTGGTGGTGACGGGAAGGGAAGGTGGGATTCATGAAGGCATGTCTCCGTTGCCCATGCCCCTGCAAGGCAGACGAGGGGCTGGCTCACACATGCCCTTGTAAAGGGGTCAGCTCTACCGTTAACACAATTTAAAAAAATTTTAAGTCCAGCACTTGTATTTGTTTTTTTTTTTGAGACAGGGCTTCTATGTATTATTTTGGAGCCTGTCCTGGAACTAGCTAAGTAGACCAGGTTGGCCTCGAACTCGCAGAGATCCACCTGCCTCTGCCTCCCACGTGCTGGTAGTAAAGGCATGCATCACCAATGCCCAGCTTGTATGTATTTTTAAAAATCCTTTTGTACTAAAATTTTAGTAATGAAGTCATTGGGAAAAATTTAAATTACTGTTGGCCATAATTATAAAACGCCTAAAATATTGTGTATTATAGTAGCTTTTGTTTTGTTTTGCATCACTCTCCTGTATTATTCTAAGTAATTAACATTCTGAAAAACAAAGAAACAGAGAAATAAAGTCCATCAAATGACATTGAATGTGTCTAAATGAATCTTTCTTGTAGTAACCCATTAGCAAAGCTGCAGTGGCTACCAGGAGACTATGTCAGCCAGTGCAGTAAGTCATATCATGTTACAATATGTTCAAATCCTACTGTACTAAGTCCTCCAGTATTTTTTTACTATTCTCAGGGGACCTATATCTTTTCTTTCATTTGGTAGAAAGGTAGATAAAGGGGAGAACTGGTCTCCTATTTACCCTGAGTGAGATGAGACACAGGTCTTTAGATGTTAACCCTTCACTAGGGCAATCATTCATGAGAAAGCCTTAAAATAGAGGAGGATATTTCATTCACAGAAGCACATGAATAAATAAATAGCCCCCATCTGGGGAAGCCACTGCAGAAGTGACCTTTCTTGTGGTACATATTGCTGTCAGGTGGAGGGAGCTTTTTGGGCACACTGTCTCACAGAAGGATGCATGCTGTTTATTGTGTGCTTCACAAAGTTGGAAGAACTTGCTCCCCCCCTTTTTCTGTAAGGGAATGATCACCGTCAGAGGATATGTATTTAACTTGATTTAAATATTGTGCAGTGACTACATCACAATCACACAATGGAAGCATCACGTGATGAATGCGGATGCTGTTTTTAATGGATCAGCTAAAAAATAAGTTTGGTTTAAATCTGAAAAAAGGACTTGCTATATTTGTCTACAAAACTGCCACCAATAAGATTCCGTGTTACAGACCCTTAGTGCTCCTCCCCTCTTTCCTCTGTGGCCAGGTTAAACGTCATCACTGACTTTACTTGGAACTCTGCAGGCTTCTGTGACATCTTTTAAAATCCTGTATGAAACCCATGTTCTGGTGATTGGTACATATTGGCAGTCACTTTACAACCTTCATTTTTAAAAACATTTTCGGATAGTCTTTCCATTTAGGATCCAGGAATTTGTATAAAACCAGACAGTTATATTGCATTCGAACTAAAATGCTATTGGTTTGTGGAATTTCCTTTAATTGGAAACACATACTAGTCGTGGTTTTTGTGTTTTTACAGTTTTATACTATCCTGTTTGTTTTCATTTTAAAAGGTGGAGAATTTGTCATTAGTTTCCATATTTTACAAAGAGGTAACGTTTTCCTTTCTTCATTCCTTTGCATTTCTTTTTCAGTTGAAAGAGACAAGGACTTTTCTCATCAGAGGAGGCATTACAAAGAGTTTCGGTTTGACCTGACTCAGATTCCACACGGAGAAGCAGTGACAGCAGCTGAATTTCGGATATATAAGGACAAGAGCCACCATCGATTTGAAAACGAGACAATTAAGATTAGTATATATCAGATCATCAAGGAATACACAAATAGGTATCGACTTTATATTAATTATTTATCCTAGCAAAGACTGAATTTTAGTTTGAAAGCCATCGGTGACCTATATGATTCACAGTGTATTTTCTTCGGTGAAAGGAGACTCTTAGCCAGGTAGAGGTCCACTGAAAAGGAAGAACAAGGAGCTGGTGAGATGGCTTGCAGTTAAGAGCTCTCAGTCTTGCCGAGGATTGTAATTTGTTTTCCAGCACCCATATCAGGCATCTCACAACCACCTTCAATACCAACTTTTGGGGATCTGAACCTCTCTTCTGACCTCCTTAAGCACTAGAGACACACATGCACACAAACATGCACACACACACACACACACACACACACACACACACACACGAATAAAATTTGAAAATAAGTCTTAAAATTAAAAAATGAATAAATATTAAAAATTCCTCCTATATTTATATATTTTTCTACTATTGATCAATCTGTGTACCAAACAGCATCATGCCTGTCTCTATGTTTTTTCCATGGGCTTTTATCTCATTTTGTAAATTTGCCTTTTAGTTCAGAAAATTTGTATTTTATATTATTTACATAAAAATCCATATAAAATTGTTTAAATAATATAGTATTCTTGTAGTCATAGAAGGACTGGTTTGCTAGGTAAGGGTGGAATATTATATGATTAGTTATGTGTATTTTGAATAAAGATAGTTCTGCTTATATTAGAATCTGACAATCAGTATATATATCCTGTCTAAAGATATTTGAGAACTGTGTGAAAACAGCTAATAGACTGAAACATTAAATCTATGAAAATGTTACTGATAACAGATTAATGCAAATGAACTATCAAGTACGAATTATAGAGGGACCTTAGACATGTTTCCTTACCTTTAACCTAACACAGAAATCATTTGGATAACACCTTTAATCAATGATTAGTTATCTTTGTTGGACAATTGACATGTTATAGCAAGGTGTTCTTTATCTGCCAGTAGCTTCTGCTCATGAGATCAAACATTTCTTATGGTGAACTGCTATGTCATTTGGTGATGCAAATACTGAAAGGTCAGTGTTTTGTTCTTTTTTTACCTTGAGAACTCTTTATAGTTCCTAATGTTTAGTTTTTTTTTTTTTGATGTTCCATAGCAATAGTTTTCCAAAGAACATTCCATTAATTTCTCACAATAATCAGTGAAGATAAAAAGCTGAGGCCAAACACCTTTATTAGATAACCTGGAGAAGGCTCAAAACACAAAGTCTTAGTTGGGGTTAAAAAAGGCTATTAGTTTTCTTTTACCTGATCTTTTTAAAAAATTAATCAAATTTTGGATGTGTAGCATCTATTAATATTCCAGGGAATACAAATTAAGGAGGATCATTTTAATAAATGTTACTCTATATGCATTGCTATTTTTAAGAGAACTAATAAAAAAATCACAAAGATCCATATCATTTTCTTAACCTTTGTAAATTTTGGCCATGGGTGAAATGTATTTTTTTTTTTAAATCTTACTATAGTGCTGTTTTTGATCTTTGATTTTTTTTTTGTTCTTTTTGAGGTAATGTCTTGTATATAGTCCAGGTTAGCTTAGAACTTACAGATCTATGTCTCTGCCTATCAAATGATGGGATTTCAGGGGTGGCCCACAATGTCCAGTACTGGTTGTACTTATAGAATTAAGATACAGGACCTTTATTTGTAATGAGTCCTATAAAACATGTTTTGTATTAGGTAATGTTGGTATCTTTTTAAGTTAAGTGAAATTTGAAAATAGTATTTTGAACATTACTTAATATTTATAAAACTATAATTTTATTTTACTTATAACTATTTTTCTACAATGGAAGGAAGAGCATTTTAAGCATTTATTTTTATCCACAGCACTACTAACTTGCTTGATCTGAATTAATATTTGACATTGCTATTTGACATGTATAATTTAATAGACAATAACTTGTACTTGGCTATTTAATATCTCAAGTCTTTTTCAAAAGAATCCTTGATATACCTGGTCATACTCATTGGGAATATCTTGATTGATTCTAAATAGAGATTTTTTTATTGACCAAAATAAAAAGACAACTTTTATTTAGGCCCTGCTATAGTTTTGAGAGTGAATGCCACTTAAACATCCATATGTCAAAAGTGTGATCTTAGGCCTTTAAGAGGTGATGGGGACTTTACAAGATACCCTTATTCTATTGGGGGTATGCCTTGAAGAGGAATGTGGGACCTCTACCTACCTGTGTTTGTTCAAGTATGGACTCATGACTAACGAGTAGTTGGTTCAGCCACAGGGTCCTACCAAGGTGTATTCCTCCAGACAACACTCCAAAGGTATTTATTGAGCCATTTGATCAGTACTGACAGGAGCTGATGAAATTACAAGTTTGAACAGCCTCTTCTTTTTATATGCTGATTATTTTAAGTATTTCATTGTAGTCATGAAGCTGACCAGTACAAGTCAATTGCTCCTTTTGCTCAGGATATTTTCACACACACAGACACACACACACACACACACACACACACACACACACACACGAAGAGAGAGAATGAGAGAGGGATAGAGAGAAACAACTTCATGCTACATATATACTAAGTAGAATTATCAACTGCTCCTTAGCAAGAAGGACCAACATCAAAATATCAGGATTTAAAATAAGTTTCTCTTGTATTCCTCAAGCTACGGAAGGACATTTTCCCCAGTGAAAATTAAATTAATTCTCTTTATTAATTCTGTTTATTTTTTCATACTAATTTGACTTTAATTCTGTGAGAGAAGAACCAAGTGAAAAATTCATTGTTTCCACATAATATGATCACAGTTAAAACAGAAAGAATTACAATATAAAAATATTTTTAAATTCAGATACATCTTTCAAATAATTTACTGCTGTTCCACACACACACACATACACACACACACACACACACACACACACACACACACACACAGTTTCTTAAAGAATTAAAATAGAGGTAAGAAAAGAAAATATTATCTCATGTTTTCAAAACATAGGTCATCTCTCAAAGCTTCTGTCATCAAACTTGTAACATTTTTAATGTAGCATTTTCAGTAAAACTCCAAAGTGAATTCTCATGGACTGCAAGTTTTAATTCAGTGCATCTAAGATTATGTATGCATTATCTTATATGGTAGCTCACTGTCCCTAAGGTGTGGTTTTGTGTGTGTGTGTATCTTTGATATAATTTAGACTGATGCTTTGAATATGTTTCACATTCGAGGCCTCAGCTGGTCTATTAACCACAAGTATAATGTACCCACACTTAAAAGTGGACAGAGCTATTATATCATCTGCATTCCCACTCATTTATCCTATATAAGTTACAACTCTTTACATTATATATTTCATTCCTACTGTCTCTTACATCCATGATTTACGCTTATACATATTCAAGCATGTGCAATTTAAAGACGTGTTCTGATAGGTATCCAAGTCCTTATTTTTCCTGCTCAAGAGGGTAACACATTTTTCTATCATTTCATTTATTTTAATCGTTTTTATATAAAACCAACAGCTCTAAATTCCATCTAGAATGCACTGCTCTTCAGTCACACCTCATATATTGACATTATTGAGAAATGAGGTTTCCACACTATTAAAATTTTCCAGATCATGCAGCTGAACGCCACACGCATGCTTTTGTTGAGCAAGCACAGAGGACCTAAGGCAGAGTAAATAAGATCTCCAAAGCTCATAGCCTGGGGGCCGTGGGATGTGGAGAGACTGCCGCACACAGACTTTAATAACAATAATACAATGTGCTAAGAACTATGATGTAAGTTTGCACTGAGTGATGTGGAAACGTGAATGAAGGGAAATGAGTTCTTCATGTGGGTGGGTGAGGGACCTCTGGGGAGGGCGCTAGGGGCTCACCTTCCAGGATGGGTAGGAACTTTTTATAGGCTGATGAAGGGGTGGATTTTAACTTTAAAATATTACAATGAAATGTTAAAAGCCCCAAATATCTAATTAATTAAATAATACACAAGTGAAATGATCAACAGCAAGAAAATAAGCTTTTTTTTTTTTTTTAGGAGTCAACATTTTCTTTTCTTTTTCTTTTTTTATTTATATTTGAAACAAGGTTGTTTTACATGTCAATCCCAGTTCCCTCACCCTCCCATCCTCCCCTATTACCCCCACCAAACCCTAGCCCATATCCTTTCTGCTCCCCAGGGAGTCTTCCAAGTCTGTCCTATCATTTGGGGCAGGGCCTAGGCCCTCCCCTATGTGGGATGGGCTTTTAAAATCCATTGGTATACTAGGGATAAATACTCATCCATTACTAAAGGCCCCATAGACTGCCCAGTCCTCTTAACTAAAGCCCACATTAACTAACACTGGGTCAGTCCTATGCTGGTTTCCCAGCTATCAGACTGGGGTGCATGAGCTCCCTCTTGTTCAGGTCAGCTGATTCTGTGGCTTTCTCCATCAACATTTCCTTCTAATGCTCTCCTATGGAGATAAATTTCTGTGCTCCATTGTAGAAACGTTTTAAGCTAGACTGCTCTGTGTCATTGGCTCCCTTCACTCCTTGGTGTGTTCGGCTCAACTGTCCCTGTTTCAGTTCATGACCACCTTCCTATTTACACCATCTCTCTCCCTTTTTGCTTCTTTAAGATTTGGAATTCTTTTGTGGTCTTTCTTCCAAATATATGTATGTTGACAGTTTCTACAGTGGAAGATTTCCTGGTCCCTAGAGGAGGCTGTGCGGATTCTGTCCAGTGCAGGACAGCACTCAAGCACAGCTTATGTTTCTTGGTATAGAGGGATCAAGCTTTATTTTATCAACAGTTCTCAACCAGGGCCACATGGCTCCCTAAGGGACCACTTGTCAGTATCTGAAGGTGTTTTTGATTGTCACAGTAATGGGGATTGTGCGGGATCTCTGTGTGTACCACTGGCATTGAGTGTGTGGATATGCTGAGTTTGCTCCATGGATCGGCTAACCCTTCTGAGAGACCCAGGACATCTCCCTTAACTGACCAAGAATGTTCTGA